AATGCTTTTTGTCTTAACTCAAAGTGACAAAACTAATAATCTAAAACATGACAAAAAAGAAACAGGAATCATATAACATTTCTGAAATGGTCTACTGAGATACTGAGTGATATATGAAAGTTCTTAACAGTAATGCCAAATGCAGAATAAAAGCTTACAGGTCATTGTTGCTTATGGTCATCAGTAAAAATTGAAGCAGTTTTCCACTTCTACTTAAAATGAGTGGGCACTTAACCTCTTATTGCAAGCAATGAGAAACTAGGCAACTTATATGCAATAACTGTTTTCAGACTGCTCAGGGTTGTGAAACCTGAAGAAAGGGAAAGAACTGAGGTGGAACTTTTAAGTATATTTTTCCAACAAAAATTTTCTTTAAGTGAAGGTAAAACAAATGCTTTGCAAATGAAAGCAGAGAAACTTTATCACTAACACACCTACACTATAAAATGTTAAAATACGTTCACAGGAAAAACGAAGATATTACAAGGCTGACCCAGGTGAGATCTCTGGCACCACATACTGTCCCAAGTTCCACAAGGAGTGACCCTTGAGTGCAGAACCAGGAGTAAGCCCTGAGCACCACCACCAAGAGTGGCCCCAAAACCAAACAAAAAACAAAATAATGAAAAGTTAAACATGTGCCAACCATCAAGTCAATTTACTCCTAGATATTTATTGCAAGGAAGAGAAATATGTAAGGATTTATAAATGAATATTTGTAAGAGCGTTAGTCCAAATGCCCATCAGTAAGTCAAGATTAAAAAATATTCTAATCTACATAATGAAATCCTACTCTCAATAATGGGAATAAACTATCAGTAAAATAATTTCAACATATTCTTTGAGGAAGAAACCAGTCTCAGTAAAAGAAAATACACTACATACTGTTTATATAAAACTCCATGAAAAACAAACTAATCGATAATAAGAGCAGGTCAGTGGCTGCGTGGGGATTCACATGAGCAAAAAAAGGCAAGAAAGAAAAATTACAAAGGAGCATCAAAATAACTCTTTTGGGGTGACATGAGATCCTTTTTGTTTGGAGCCATGCCCTACAGTATTCAGAGCTTAGGAGACCCCGCTATGCTGGGATCTAACCAGGGTCTCTCACGTGCAAAGTATATACTTCAGTCCTGGGAACCACCTCACTGAACCTGTATTTATGAATCTGAACTGCAGTGATAGTTTTGTGAATGTAACATATAACTATATACCTATGTCAAAAATCAACAAATTTATACTTTAAGACTATGTATAGAGATATTTTAATTATAACTCAAAAAAAGAAAAAAATATCCTGGAAGAGATAGAACATGATATGAACAGGGACCTAAACAGGAAAGATGTCTTAGAAATCATGAATATGAAAATAAAGAAGCCAATAAACGAATATTCCAGAAAGAAGAATTAAGAAACGGGCAGAACAAGGACAGAAAAGAGTTTTAGATTAATCCTTTGAGTTTGACTCTTGGGAGGTCCTTAAAAAGAGAGGCTGGGACTGGGAAGATAGCAGAGGGGTCAGGGGCACATGTTTTGTGTTCTCAGGACTCTGTTCAACCACTGGTTCCAGAGCACTGCTGGGTGGCCTGGGGCTCCTGGAACCATAGGGCCCAAGCACTGCTATACCCACTGGCTCAAGAATTAAACCATCCGGCTGTGTATCACTGATAAATGGTCCTCCTAAGCACTGCTTCAAAGGCCCCCAAAAACAAAACCATGGGAATAGAGAGTCCAGGGGTTAAGGTAATTACCTTCCAAGTGGCTCATATGGTTCAAGCCCTTGTGCCTCCCCCCAAAAAAAGAACGGAGATTCAGCAATTAGGATTCAACCCAGAATGGCTACAACAGCAAACTCTAGAGTTATAGGGTTCTAACAAGGCTGGAAAATAAGAAGTACAGAAAAACAGACTTCTAAGAAAGTCTCTCCCCGCAAAAATTCAAGAGGAATGGAGAAATTATTTAGTACATATGGGCACTGGTGAGGGATGTAGAACCCTGACAAAACTGTAAATTCTCTATGGGGAAGAGCTTAAGGATAGGCTGCAGGTTAGCTCAGAGGGGTGGATTACAGGCTTTGAATGTGGGAGTCACAGGTTTCACACAGCTTCCCTGAGCACTGCTGGAATAACTCCCAAGCACGCAGCATCAAACTAAGAGTAGCTACCACTGCTTGTGACCCCAAACAACAAAATAATAAGTATAAAATTAATCTGTAGTTTGTTAATGAGGTAATCAACAACTTAAAAATTTCAAGGAAGAAAATGAAACCTGGTGGCTGGAGAGATAGTTCAATAGGCTGAGCACATGCTTCGATTGCAATAGTCCCGGATTCGACACTCAGCACTGCATGGTCGCCTGAATACAGCTGGGAATGACCCTTAAGCACAGTGCAAGTAGTAGTCCTGGAGCATTGCTGGGTGTGGTACCCCCCCAAAAAATAAAAAAGGAAAATAAGGAAAGAAAATCTGGGCCAGTGATGAAATTTAGTAGTAGAGTACCTGTCTTGCATGTGTGAGGCCTGATTTTCATTCCTGGAACCATAAAAAAAAGGGAAGGGAAAAAAATAAAGAATTCAGGGCTGGAGAGACAGTACGGGGTAGAGTGCCTGCCTTGCACACGCCTGACCCAGATTCTATCCCCAGCATCCCATATGATTCCCTGAGTCCCACCAGGTATGAACCCTGAGAACAGAGCAAGGAGTAAGCCTGGAGCATAGCTGGGTGAGCTACACCTGCTAAGAGAAGAATCTATAGTATACCACGATACTTGGCAGTACAGTAAAGAATATTTACTTATCTGTAATTAATAAATGATAAATAATGGAGTCAACAATCAGTAGAATATGTACTACCAATAACAAGGAAAATAGAGTTAGCAAGGATGTACAAAAACTGTAATCCATCATAAATCATGGTGCCTACAATATAAAAATAAGTAAAAAATTTTAAAAAACGAAAGAGAAACTTCCTGGAAATGAAGATGCTGTTGCTGCCCAACAAGGGGCATAGACTCTATCCATGAGGTATCTGAATGGTCAGTTTCATGTCATGAAATGAATTTTTACTTTACCGAAATAAGGAAAAAATAAATAAATGGTAGAAAATAGAAAAAGAAAGATAAATGGTAAAAAACTGGAATTCTTGTAAATTACTGATGGGATTGTAAAATAAAGCAGAATTGTAGAAAACAATATGGTCCAGGGGAGGGAGGGGACTACCATATGATCCAGCAACTCCATTTCTGGGTTTGTGTTCAAATGAATTTCAAGTAGGGTCTTGAAGCAATCTATGCACATTCATATTCATATCAGCACTAATCATAATAGCACGAAGCCAAAGCAATTAAAATGCCCACTGAAGGATGAAGAGCCCACTGAAGGAATGAATGGATAAACAAAATGGGGCAATTATACAATTTTACATAATTCCGCCATAAAAAGAAAGGGAATTCTGATACATGCTCTATCATAGTTGAACCGTGAAGCCATTATGCAAAGTGAAAAAGACAAATTCTATAGGTTCCACTTTTAAGGTTATCTGTAAGCAGTCAAGTTCATAGAGACAGAAAGTAGAATGATGGTTACCAAAGGCTAGGAGATAATGGAAAGGCTATTGTTTTGGCATGGGTTTAGTTTGAAATTTGCAGGACAAAAAGTTCTAGAAATCTGTCTGAAAATGTGACTACACTTTTAGTGAACTGTACACGTAAAGGAGTTAAGAAGAAAATTTTGTCATTTTTTCCCCTATCGCAAATAAAAAATTAATAGGTTCATTTTAGAAGATGCAGAATACAGCTCTCATTGGCTAACCTGTGGGTAAATTTGGCATCAAAATGAACAAAGACTAATTGATTGAGGCTGGGGCTGGGCCATTCCTGGTGATACTCAGGACTTATTCTTGGTCTGTGCTTAGGAATCACTCCTGACGGTGCTCAGGGGATATGCGGTGCTGGGAACTGAAGTGAGGTGGTGGCATGTTAAGTGTACTCTCTCTGATCTTCACTAACTGATTTTAACTCACTAATTAAAAAAATATTCATGAGGTAAGAGTAATAGTACAAAAAACCTTTTTGTCAGAATGTTAACTAGACATATCCCCATTCTGGGGTCACCTGCACCTCAACGTGGAAAGTATAATTCCTTTCTTTTACTTTATGGTGTGCTTTGGGATCTCTCCACACTGAAGACCAGAGAGGCCAGAGCGATAGTACAGAGGGCAGGGCATTTGCCTTGCACGTGGCTGACCTGGGTTTGATCCCTGGCATCTCATATGAACTCCCATGCACCACCAGGAGTAATTACTGAGCGTAGAGCCAGGAGTCAGCCCTGAACATCACCAAGTGTGACCCAAAAAGCCAAAAAAAAAATCACATTTATTCTCTCTCCTCCGTCTCCCCAACTCCCCTTTCCCCTCCCTATTTCCTAAATAGAACTATTTTACTCTCAAAAATAAAAGGAATGTAATCTAATAATTAGAACCTGTCAAAAGATGGTACCTCCAAATTTGAATTAGAGGACAAACAAACAACAGTACCCATGAATTGTGGGAACATTGTGGGAAAATGTTGATCTAACTCTAATCTTTCCGTTATATGTATTAAAATACAGAAATAAAGGGAATGGAGAAACAATTTAAACATACCACAAGAAAACAAGTGGACAATATTCTGCATGTGGAACAATCTACAAAACAAGTTACCTAGATTAAGAGAGACTAAGGAGACAAAAACTAATAAGCATGTGAACCTAATTCAATCCTTTTTGAACAGTTTACAAAGACATTTTTGGACAACTGAGGAAACTGTAATACAGATTAGATACTACATGATCTTCAAAAATTATGAAATTCCCAATAAACATGAAAAATATTTAACCTAATTATTAAAACAAAATGTTAAAATTTACCTACCAAATTTGTGACAAAAGTTAATACAGTTTTGGGGGGGCAGGACAATCTGGTAACATGTAACAAACGTTTTTAAAAAATGTTTATATACTTTACCCAGCAATTCCACTTCTAAGCATTCATCCTATAGAAATAAGAGTTGTGCATAAACATTTATTGACCAGAATGTTCACTGCAGCATTACCATTAAAATGGACACAACCAATTATGCAAGATAGAATAAACTATGCAATATTTGTAATCATTACAATTTTATTTTTGGTTTGGGGAACACACCCAATCGTGCCAAGGGCTTACTCCTGGCTTTCCAGGGATCACTGCTGGAAGGGCTTAGGGAACATATTGGGTGCTGGGAATTGAGCCAAGGCAAGCACCCTACCCTCTGCAGGGCCCTTCATTACAAATCTGATATATTTAGCATGGAATGGTTCTTAAAATAAAGGTACTTATTTTATGATCCTAGAGGGCAGAACTAGAAACTATCACTGGATATTATGAAATAGAATTTGGTTCAATGTAAGCAACAATGTTCTAGTCATTATAATTTTTCTAAGCATGCTTCAAAAAGCAGTAAGTATTAAGTTTGGCATTATTAAAACTCTGCTCAATAGGGGCTGGAGTGATAGCACAGCGGGTAGGGTGTTTGCCTTGCATGTGACCAACCCAGGTTCAATTCCCAGCATCCCATGTGGTTCCCTGAGTACTGCCAGGAGTAATTCCTGAGTGCAGAGCCAGGAGTAATCCCTGTGCATTGCCGGGTGTGACCCAAAAAGCAAAAAAAAAAAAAAAGTAAAACTCTGCTCAAAGGCTGAATGGCCCCTCAACAGATTTTTATGTTGTAAAGAGAAAATTGTAATAATTTTCCTACTTTAAGAACTTTACTACGTTAAATTTTTCATTAGTTGAGGTGTCAAGAAGGAAGTAGTATTTTTGTTTGTTTTGGGGCTACACCCAGCAATGCTAAGGGGTTACTCCTGGCTCTACACTCAGAAATTACTCCTGGAGTGCTCAGGGGACTATATGGGATGCTGGGGATCAAACCCGGTTTGGCTGCACGCAAGGCAAGTGCCTTACCTGCTATACTGGCACGCCAGCCCTGGAAGTGATTAGTATTCTGTAAACATTAAACACCCATGTTGCACTAAACCGAAAGGAGAGTATATCTATAGTAAAATGTAGTTGAATGGGGCCCGGCGAGATAGTACAGAGTGTAAACAATCTCCTATTAAAGCTTTCGACATAACAAAAGTAGAAAATAGTATAAAGGAACCCCACATGCCCTTTACTCAGTTTTATTTATCAGTATTTTGTGGGGCACGAGATAAAGTCTAGTGGAAAAGCATGTGCTCTGCATACGAAGTCCTAGCTTCAATCCCTGTCACCAAAAACGTGCATATTAATGCTAATTTCTCTCATTTTCCAGGAAATTTACCCTCCTGAGATTTAAAACAAACTTTAAAATCATACTATTTCTCTACAAAAATTTAAGTATGAAAAGATATACTTTTTGCTAATATATTCAATAATGTCAGTTGCTATGATGAGGTGCTGTTTGTAAATGTACTTACGTGTAATTTTCACATTATTATCAACACTTTCACAAATGAGGAAAACTTTATCGTTTTTTTTGCTTTATGGGTCACATCCAGCAATAGTCAAGGATTACTCCTGGCTCTGCACTCATCATTCCCGACAGTGCTTGGGGGACCATATGGGATGCTGGGGACTGAACCCGGGTTGGTTGTGTGCAACGCAAATGCCCTACCCGCTGTACTATCGTTCCAGCCCCAAATGAGGAAACTTAAGGGTTTGCTTTTTTCTTGTTATGGGGTGGAGTGGGGTTTGGACTGTATCAGTGGTCACTCCCAATGATGCCCAGGGACAATGCAAACTGTGGTTTCCTGCATACTAAGCACATGAACTAGCTTTAAGATATCTCTCCAGACCCTAAAACTTGACCACAAAGCCGAAAAGCAGTGGTCTAATATAAAAATCCCAGAGGTTGAGACCAAAGACACATTACAGAAGGCACTTGTCTTGTAGGCGAGGATCTGACTCCCCGTGCCCAATATTGTTCCCCAGAGCACTGACTGCCATGAGTGATCCATGAGCACAGAGCCAGGAATAAGTCCAGTGGTGCTCAGGTATCATTCAGGTAGTGCGCAAGAGACAATAAGCAGTATAAGGAAATCAAACAGCAGTTAGACATATGCAATGATGATCTAATGTTAGATGATCTAACCCCTGTACGATATCTTGGGCTTTTGCAATATTATATATATTTGTTGTTGGTGGTGGTGGGGCGGGGGCGGCTTTTTGGCTCACACCTGGCAATGCTCAGGGGTTACTCCTGGCTCTGCACTCAGGAATTACTCCTGGCTTGCACAGAAGCCCATATGAAATGGCAGGGATTGAACCCAGGTCAGTTGCATGCAAGGCAAATGCCCTACCCCACTATACTATTGCTCCAGCCCCTTTGCAATAATTCTTTTTTTCTTGGAGGGCCACACCCAGTGATGATCAAGGCTTACTCCTGGCTTTGTGCTCAAGGATCACTCCTGGTGGTGCTCAGGGAACCATATGTAGTACTGAGAATGAAACCTGGGTCAGCTGTTTGCAATGTAAACTTGCTTCTCACTGTACCAGCTCTCCAGCTCCCCTGGAAATAATTTCTTTTTTTTTTTGCTTTTTTGGGTCACACCCAGCGATGGTTGGGGGTTACTCCTGGCTCTGTACTCAGAAATTATTCCTGGCGGTGCTCAGGGGACCATATGGGATGCCAGGGATCAAACCCAGGTCCGCCGCATGCAAGGCAAACGCCCTACCTGCTGTGCTATCACCCCGGCCATCCCTTTGAAATAATTTTTAATAAACTCTGGAGAACTCAGTTTGAAAAATCTAGACGATAATCAAAGCCTTAGAAGAGTTTTTATTCAGTGGCCAAGTTGCAGAAAGGTACTTGAAATGTCTGCTTTTTTTTTTTTTAATGCTTTTTGAGTCACTCCTGGCTCTGCACTCAGGAATCACTCCTGGCAGTGCTCGGGGACCATATGGGATGCTGGGAATCGAACCCGGGTCGGCCGCGTGCAAGGCAAACGCCCTACCCGCTGTGCTATTGCTCCAGCCCAAAATGTCTGCTTTTTACAGTTAAATGTTGAAGGCATGAGTGAAAATAATTCCAAATGAGAAAATCAATGATTATTAAGTAGTATCAGATCAACCAGTCTATTATTTTTTCAGACAAAAATTTCCTAGCAGAGTCAAAGAGACTAAGCATAGGGTTTAAAGCACTTGCCTTGAATACAGCCAACACTGGTTTGATTCTTGAAATCATATGGTATCCCAAGTATTGCCAAGATTGGTCCCTGAGCACAAAGCCAGGAGAAAGCCATGCACTGCCAGGTGTAGCCCAACACACCCCTGTACCCAAGGTAGTGAAAAAACACCTTTTTGCTTAAACAAGTGCATGTCTAGCTACCCTCACACATGAAGACTCTAGGAACTGGAATGAGCATTCTCGGTTCCACCACTCTACTACTGGCTAGCCAAGCTATTTGGGGTTTGCAATCCTTTGAAGTGAAAGTCTTTGGCTAAGTTTCCTTTCTCAGAAACTTAAAAAAATCACAAAACAAAACAAACTCTCTGAAGAAGTCTTACCCAGTCACTGACATGCCCTTCTCTGGCTGCTTTGTTACCTTGGTTAGAGTCCACTGGGTCTTCTATATGAGCAATGACACTCCTGAGATAATTTTGCTTCTGCTGTTCTAGATCTGATTGTGAAAACGTTGGCACATTAGTCCTTAAACAATGCAAACCAAAGGGAGATAAAACAGTCTGTTAGAACCATAAGTACAGTGCTCTGTAGAGAGAAAACATACATTACCAATCAGAAAAAAACACTTTCAGAGGCAGTAGTTTACTGTTCTGTCCCCCCCCACACACACCTTTCTGCGGGGTGGGGTGGGGGAGGTGGGCCACACCAAACTGTGCTCAGAGTTTACTTCTGGTGGTGCTTGTGTTGGACCATGTGTGGTGTTGCGAATCAAACCCATGTCAGTCAGATGGAAGTCTAGTACATACTGTCAAGCCCCAGAGGCAATATTTTAAAATCAAGTGACAATCTGTACTGCAAACCTTAAAAGGAGGAAAGGGGGAGGGGGGAGAGAGAGGAGCGAGAGAGAGAAAAAGAGAGAGAGAGAGAGAGAGAGAGGGGAGGGAGAGGAGAGGAAGGGTGGAGAGAAAAGAGAGAAGAGAGAGGGAGGGAGAGAAAGGGAGGGAAGAAGGGGGAGAGAGGGAGGGAGAGAAAAAGGGAGGGGGAAAGAGAGAGAGAGAGAGAACCTGCAATGGAGACAGGCTTTGGGGGTAGGGGAGAAACTGGGGACACTGGTGGTAGGAAATGTGCACTGGTGGAGAGATGGGTGTTGGAATATTGCTTGACTGAAACCCAACCATGAACAGCTTTGTAACTGTATCTCACTGTGATTCAATAAAAAATAAAAATAAAAATAATAGAAGACCATGTTAGTTAATTAACATGAACCTGAAACCAAGTATGGAGTTAAGAGAAAAAGAAGGGGGCTGGAGCGATAGTACAGCGGGTAAGGCGTTTGCCTTGCACGTGGCCAACCCGGGTTCAATTCCCAGCATCCCATATGGTCTCCTGAGCACTGCCGGGAATAATTCCAGAGTGCAGAGCTAGGAGTAACCCCTGAGCATCACCAGGTGTGACCCAAAAAGGGAAAAAAAAAAAGAGAAAAGGAAGGTAAGAAATAGATATTACCTTCTATTAATAGTGCGTAGGAAAGTAAGGCTACCTAGTCCTTAAAGAAGGAAAGCAATTGTTGAATGCGTCAAGGTTATAATTCAGGATAAGTCAGGGGCCAGAGAAATAGTACAGTAGGTAGAGTGTTTGCCTGGCAGGCAGCAGACCCAGATTCAATCACTAGCACCCCATCTCATTCCCTGAATCCCACCCAAAGTGATTCCTGAGCAGAGCTGGTGCAGCCTCCCAAAACAAAATAGCCAAGAAATAGGTAACTACATACAACAAAAAAAAATTTCAGAAATATACGAAAAGGATCAGCTGGATGTAGTAATTAGAACACTGGAGACCTTGGTAAAAAACAATTTCTGGTCCTTTCTGATACTGATGACACTGCACTGAGAAGTCCACTGGTGAGATACTGAAACAGGAAAATATTAGGTTTCAAACAGCCTGACTTATGTTCCTCAGGGTTCAATTTCCACTGTAAACAACTGACAAAGCTTTTCTCAATAAGCGAATAGAGCCAAAAACTGGGGTTAGAAGTGGTATTCAGATTCTAACCTGTTAATAAAAAATGTAGTTTTAAGTATTTTTTTTTAAAAAAGGGGGAATTGAGCCTTAAATAACAGTTTCAGTTATTGTTTTAGGTTTTTTTGGTCACACCAAGTGGTGTGTGTTATCCTGCTCAGGGGTTACTTCTGGCTCTGCATTCAAGAATCACTCCTGGCGGGACTCACCTCATATGTGATGCCAGGGATTGAACCTGGGTCAGCTGCAAACAAAGCAAATGCCCTACCTACTGTACTATCTTTCCGGCCCACAGTTTAAGTTTTCAAAGTGGAAGAATATATTTGTAATCAATTAAAAAAAAATCCTCATTGTAAGGAAGCCCATCAGACTCAATATAAAAACCAACTCGGTTCATTGAAAAGGCTCATGTAAAGACACTGCCACCTGCTGGCAAGAACTAAGATCGAAATGCTATAAATCTGCACTATCTACTTGAATTATCCCCCAAAGGCCAGTTTTATCCAAGTTAGTTTTCTGCAGTTTTAGTTTCACTGCTATTTATTTTCAGTGCTCAGGAGCTACCCCTGGACACTCTGTTGGGACGCCTGATAGTTCTTGCGGCACCATATGGGTGCTAGGGATTGACCTTGGGTCTCCCGAAGATGAAGCACATACGCTTTCTCTCTGAGCTGCCTCCCTGTCCTCTCTAACATTTTGATTAAATTATTCTTAACTTTCTATCATAGCTATGCTCAGGTTTCCCCATCCCAGAAAAAGAAATCTTACACAGATTTTGCTATCTTTCATTAAATAAACTTGAGGCAGCAGATAAACATTAACCTTATTTTGTTTACAAAGAAACTGAAGTCAGAGATTATTTGACTTGCCAAGGTCACACAGCAAGATTTTGGTGGTCCCAGGACCTTAAGTACTTACTTTGAATGTAGGCTTTTCCCTCTACCTAAGGGGAACTGAGGTAGAGAAAGAAACTAAAGAGAATCAAAAGTACGCAGACTATTTTATTATACACTTACCTTGTTTTGGTTTGTAGAACAGGGATGACTTTGCCTAGTCTTCTCTCATGGACTTTCAGCTTCCCAGAATCCTTGTCAAGAACATTCTGCTTCTTTTCAGTGCATAAGAAAAGATGATCTTCAGTTATAAGAAAACAACTGAAAGTACTATTTATGGAAATATTCTTGAACCAAAGCCTATAAAGGCATATCTTCAAACCTGACATGTGTATCAAGCACTATCTTCCCCTTGCCACCCAGAAGTAAAGTTTTATTTAGGAAATATGAGAAGTGAGACAGAGAGAGAAAGAGTAACCATGAGAAAGAGAAACCATGCTCCCCAAGCTGGAATGTGGGCCAGGGCCGGAATGGAACGCTACTCTGAGTATTTGCCATGAGACGTGACTGCAATCTTAAAAAGATTAAAATCAATCAATAAATAAATAAACAAAACCAACAACCGACTCTAAGTAATAGGATCTCATTCATTTGTTTTTTTTTAAGCTTTTTTTTTTTTCTTTTTGGGTCACACCTGGCGATGCACAGGGGTTACTCCTGGCTCTGCACTCAGGAGTTACTCCTGGTGGTGCTCAGGGTACCATCTGGGATGCTGGGAATCGAACCCAGGTTGGTGACATGCAAGGCAAACGCCCTATTTGCTGTGCTATCACTCCAGTCCCTAGGATCACATTCATTTGGCAGATAAGAAATCAGGCTCAGGGGGCTGAGCCATAGTAGAGCTGGTAAGGAATCTGCCTTGTATGGAACTGAACTGGGTTCAATTTCTGGCACCTCATATGGTCCCTGTGGGCACCACCAGTAGTGATTCTAGAGTGTGGAGCCAGGAATTACCCTGGAGCATTGCTGAGTGTGGTCCATAAACAAAACCAACAAATAAAAAGAAGAAAAAATAGAAATCAGGTTCAGGGCTGGAGCAATAGTACAGTGGGTAAGGTGTTTGCATGTGGCTAACTGAGGTTTGATCCCTGGTACCCCATGTGGTCTCCCAAACACTACAAGGAGTGATCCCTGAGCACAGAGCCAGAAGTAAGGCCTGAGCACTGTTTGGTATCGGCAAAAAAATAAACAGAAGATACACTGTTGCTGTCTCAGAGCTGAGACTGACTCTAATATAACATGGCAAACAAAGACTGAAACTTGGGATATAACCTTAAGAAAGACAGTAAAATAACCATTCACAACTACTAAATGAGTAACTTAATATTATGAACCAGTTATAGATACACTTTTTAAAATTAACCAATACTAATGATAAAGTATTACTCCATTTATAGGTGAGAAATGCAAGGGAATAGGCTAAACAGCTTGCCTGGGGTCAGGATTAGAACTCCAATTTATCTAACACAAAAGCTCTACTATACAAATTCTAAATGAAAGTTATTCTTCCTCTTCGCCTTACAGAAAATCCACTTACTTTGTTTGCTGAGCCAGCAACTGAACACCTCATTTCACAACTTGATTTGTGTGCTCCATTTCTCCAGGATGCCCCCATGTGAGGAGTCTCTGAATGGTCCACAATCTGAGAGAATACAGGTGTAGGTTTCTTATTGTCAAGTGTATTTTTATCAGAGACAGTTTGCTGAAAGTTATTGTTTGAAGAAGGGAGCAAGGACCCATCCCAGGCAGCATGACTGGGGCTGATTCTCTCAGATGTAGTGCAAAGTTTGCTCTCATTTGGGCTAAGACCATCTTCTCTCATCTCTTCTCCAAAGGAGGAGGGTTTCTCAATATCTTTGGATGAATCAGTCTTGTCCTTATCAAGCACAGTATCACAAACTGTTGGATCAAATGGCGCAACAACTGTAATTTTTATAAGATTCTTTTCTAGTGCAAAGCGTCTGTTTAATGGTTTAGTAGAAGCTGGTCCATGACCAATTGATGTTATTTGCTGAGGTAGTTTGAAGAGATCAGGAGTCTCATCTACTGGTCCCAAGCTACACACTGAACTTTTCTCTTCGGGAGTATCAAGTAGAATTTGACTCCCTCTTCCTTCCTTCTCAACGTGCCTGCTATCATCTCTAAGCAACCCTCCTGCCCGAGAGTGCTCATTCGATGGGTCATCATCCTTCAAGAGTTCCTGAATCTCCTCCTCTGTGAAACTGAAATGGCCATCATCTTCTTCGCCATCACACAGCTCCAGCAAGGAGTCATCCAATCCATCTTCATCCAAGGAACCCCAAGTAAATGAGGCACTGTCTTTGGGCAAGAGAGAGGTACCAGAAGACTGTTCAGAGGTCACTAGTGAGCACGTCATATCTGGAGAAATAAGGGAGTTTTGCTGAGGAACAGGAAATCCCTTTATGCCAACTCCAATCTGTTCTATAAAATAGTGGTATTCTAAGATTTCAAGTTCGTTTTACTGTGACATATGAAATAATTTTATAATATTAAACCTTACTAAAATCATGGAAATTACAAAAACACTTTTTTTCTATAAAAATGGTAGAAATTAAGATGATAATAATCTGGGTTGGTACAAATATGAGACAACATTCTTACAAACCATTAATAAGACCACAGGTCAAGGGCCAGAGAAATATTAACGGTGAGTGCTGGCCCTATAAGAGCCTGGTCTGGGTTTAATCCCTATCACCCCATACAGACCCCAAACCCCAAGAGTGATCCTTGAGCATAGAGTGAGAAGTAAGCCCTGAGCACTGTCAGGTATGGTTAAAATACCAGGGGGAAAAAAAGTGTAAATCAGAATAATATATTGTAAAGGAATAATTTGGTAATAGCATTAAACCCAGCAATTTTACTTCTGGAAATTGATTCTACAAAAGTACCTGCATAAATGCATATGGATACGTTTTACAAGAATGTTCAAAGCAGCCATTACTGAAAAATAGCCAAATATTAGAGGCAACCTAAATGTTCGTGACCAGAACTACTCAGTAAAATCCCAGGACATTTATGCTATGGGGTAATTATTTTAAAAATCAATAAACTAGATCTTACATATTATTGTAGAATAGCAGCCATAACATACAAACACAATAATATACACTGTGTGAAATGTTTGGATGTTCAGCCTCAATTTACATTAAAAAATACAAACACGTACTACTCTGAAATTCAAAAATAAGGCTTTAATACTAGACAACAAGGATTTTTTTTTCCATACTGTGTGGAGCTGCTGGCGTGATCTCTGCCTTTGCCACGAGACCAAATGGAAAAAGGTTTCAGCTCCTGCTAGCTGTTCCTTTCAGTAGACTTGTCAAAATGATTGACTCCCACCTTCCTGCAGGCACAAAGAAAATTAGAGGATCTTCTCATCACTTTCAACTCTGCTAATTACAAAGTCAACTGTATTATGCTTTAAGGTGCTCCATCTATTAATTTTGATCTTGATTTTATTTTAAATACCACAAAGTTGGATTTTGACTCAAGAACATCAAAGAAAAGCCTTTAGAGGAAAATTATGCAACTAAGGAACTAATTTTGTTCCATCCAACAATCTGTACTTTCTTGAGAATATCATTTGCACTAGTATGATGAACACTGGGGTTTGGGAGTCCAAAGACTTAGAAGGCTTAACTGGTTTTTTCATAGCTGTGATAATCTGAGCAAGTCACTAAACTATTCGGACCGATTTCTTCATTTACAAAATGAGAAAGGAATGCAGAAGAGAGACTAGGTAAAGTCCCTCTTCTTAATGTGAAAGACTCACCAAGAATCTTAAAGTCACATGGCTACACGTATAAAAATCTCAAGTTCAGGACATATATAAAATTCAAAGAAAAGGTCCGGAAGATTTCACCGTTAAACCCTGAAGGTGGATCAAAAAATTAGGAGACTTTCATGACTATAACTTTACATTTCCACTTGAATATTCCATATTACTTATGTAACTAAAACCTAGCTTTTGAAACTGCTAAAAATGGACTTAATGTTATTATTTTCTGGGTAAAGAAGTTATAGAAAACTGCTATTTTACTTTATCACAAGTCAACAACTGAGAAGCTATAAAAAAATTAACAAGTCAGGAGCCAGAGCAATAGGACAGGGGTAGGGCATTTGCCTTCCACACAGGTAGATCGAACCCATGTGGTCCGTAAACTTCTCCAGAAGTGATCTCTGAGTGCAGAGCCTGGAGTAAGTCCTAAGCAGTTCTGTTTTGTTTTGTTTTGTGGCACACACCCAGCAGTGTTCAGGGTCTACCCCCAACTCAGAAGTCAGGGTCACTCCTGACGGTGTTCTGGGGACACTGCAGTGTCAAAGATTGAATGGAGCCTCATCCATGCAAAGCAAATGCTCAGTCCTTTGAACTATCTTACAGGCACTGAAGTGGCTACTTGGAAACGGAAACTTCCTTAATAGCTTTTATTAAGGGGAAATACTGCAAATTTCCCCTCGCATCACTTCCCTCCATACCACACCCAAAATTTTAAGTTTACTTCAGGCACTTGGTGAGGGAGGTTGGGTTGGGGACATACCCAGCAGCACTAGAAGTTACTCCTGATTCTGTGTTCTGGGGCACCAGGAATGCCAGGGTCAAACAGGGTCACATAGAAGTCTGGTTTAATTCCTATACTCTATCCTATGCATTTTAGGCATTCTTTAGAAAACATGGAAACTACTGTTGTAAATGGCACTAAGTTGGATAATATCTCTACAGGATTTCTAAGAAATAAAGATAGTTTCCACCTTTAAGTAAATGTTATCTCAGGGCCTGAGAGATAGCACAGGGGGCAAGGCACTTGCCTCTCATGCAGCCAACTTTAATTTGATCCTCAGCAATGCATATGTACTCAGTGGTCCCTGAGTACAGAGCTAGGATGAAGCCCTGAGCACCAAGGGTGGCCCCAGACCAATAATAAATATATACTCTTGGGCCAGGGGTACACAAAACATACCAGAGCCAGTTTAACACTGGCACTATGTGACTCCATGAAGCATCTCTTAAGTGGAGCCCTAGAAACTGCAAAGAACCTATGTATGGCCCTGGTGGTCCTTGGCATTGAAGGAATTCTGAGTATTGATTTGGGGCCTCCGAAAAGTACAATCTTGCTATACAGACAACACTAAAAGTTAAGATGCATTCATATGAAAAAATTTAAAATGGGGGTGGAAGACTCAAGAAGCTCAAAGGGCTGCACATACAAATTGCCTACAGGCAGCCTAGGTTTGATCGCCACCCAGCACAGTTCCCCAAGCACCAGAAATTTCTTTCTTTCTTTTTTTTTTGCTTTTTGGGTCACACCCGCCGATGCACAGGGGTTACTCCTGGCTCTGCACTCAGGAGTTACTCCTGGCGGTGCTCAGGGGACCATATGGGATGCTGGGAATCGAACCCAGGTTGGCCGCGTACAAGGCAAACGCCCTACCCGCTGTGCTATCGCTCCAGCCCCAGCACCGGCAATTTCTAAAACCAATTTCTAATTTCTCAGAATTTCTTGGAATACACTGAACACTACAGGGTGTGGCTAAAAACAAAAAGAAGGAAAAAGAGAGTAGAGGGATGAAAGATACAACAGAGAAAGTTCATGGTCAACCTTGGTTGAATCCTTGGCACTACATATGGTCCCCCACAAACCGCCAAGAGTGATCCTGAGGACAGAATCAAGAAGCGCTGAGTGCTGCTAGGTGTAGTCCATCCCTAACACCATCCCAAAAGATACAAACAGTAAAATACTAGAGAAAGGGATTTCACATAATTAGACTAGGAAGCTATATAATATACAGATACCACGGTTACTGGAGTTAACATTTTAGGGGCTGGAGAGATAGTACAGCAGTTAAGGTGATTGCCTTAAATATGCTCACCCCCTGAGCACTGCTGCGTGTGACTCAAAAAACAAAAACAATACTCTATTTTATATCTGAAAACTGCTGAAGATAAGTCTTGTGAGTTCTCATCACAAGGAAAACACTATGTGAGATGATATATGTTATCTATACTTATTGTGGTTATCATTTGTATTTCATTCATTATGCTCCATACTTTATTTTTTGGGCCACACCTGGTGGTACTTAGGGCTTATTCCTGGCTCTGTGCTCAGGTCACTCCGTTGCATTTGGGAGACCATATAGGGTGCGGTGCGGGGGATCAAACTCAGGTTGACTGCGTGCATAGCAAGTGCTTTACCAGCTGTACTCTCTCTCCAGCCCCATGATTTACATTTTAATACAAGGTTACATCAATTACAACAATAAAATTAAGTTGGGAAAGAACTTACTATCTTGGAGATAAGATAGGACAGAAATACTACTATAAACCAGGCACTGAGAAACTTTTACTTTGTTTTGTTTGGGGGCCATACCTGGGCAGTGCTCTGGGCTCACTCCTGGCTCTCAGCTCAGGAATCACTCCTGGTGGGATTGGAGGACCATATGTAGTACTGGGGATCAATCTGAGTAAGTCACGTGCCAAAGCAAGTGTCCTTACCTGCTACACTACTGCTAGGGCCCCAGCACTGAGAAAATATTGCATGACTCACCCCTCAACTAATTTAACCCCTAAACAGGCCCTCAACATAACTCTGTAACAAACATTTTCAAGAAATTAAGTTTTCCATTATATTTATTTATTTTGCTTTTGGGGTCACACCTGGCTATGCACAGGGGTTACTCCTGGCTTTGCACTCAGGAATTACTCCTGGCGGTGCTCAGGGGACCATATGGGATGCTGGGAATCAAACCCAGGTTGCCGCGTGCAAGGCAAATGACCTACCCGCTGTGCTATCACTCCAGCCCCTAAGACTTACTATTTGACCCATACTCTGGCAATTATTATAAGAGTTCTGGGCACTAAAACAACTGACTTTACAATGAAAAATTTCTCTGCCCAGTGACTGGATTATTTTATAGGTGAGTTAATTTTCTTAGACAGCAGTAATTAAAAAAATGTTTACTTCTAGAAATTTTTTTTAACAATTTGTGCATTCAAGTTCAAGTTATCACAGGCTCTGGAGTAAAGCAGCTACATTTTCAGAAGCCCTGTCTGAACCACTACTACTATTCTCACCCCTTCTCTTAAAAGAATAAGCCAGGGACTCATTTGACCAAATAAAGAATTTAATAGATTTTCATTCTTGAGAAACTAAGTTTTAAGGCATTAAGTATCTCAAAAAACTCAAAATGCTAGAACAAGGACATAAATGTAGTCTAATTCCAAAGGGAATGCTCTTTACTCTCGTGACAGACTTACTCAAGTAAGAGAAATGGAAGAGTCCTCTACATTCAGCACGTTCTCTAATATGCTAAAATAGAGAGAGCTTTGACTCTTTGGCAGAAATAATTGAAGCCACCTAATTACGCACAAATCTTCCTGTGCCTTCCCATGTGGAATGGAAGAACATGAGAGTATGGTCCTAAGCAGGCCCTAAACAAAGCACACTGCTCCGGTGATGTTTGATTTCACTGCAACTGTGTACACACAAAACCAGTATCTTCTATATCACCACAAGAATCAATTTCTATGCCTTATAACACAGAACGTTCCAATGGGTCTGGCAGCAAAACAAAACTACATACGTGAAATTTGAACTTACAGGCATATCATTCATTCTCTTCACAATTTTGTTCCTCTTCCCCCGCCCATCGCTCCCTCCCCTGCCCCCCATTTGGGGGCCACACCAGCAGAACAGGGACTATCCCTGATTCTGCTCTCAGGATCCCTCGTGGCAGAGCTTGGGGAACCTATGTGGTACCAAGGATTGAATCTGAGTCCTTTTTTGGGGGGCTAGGGTGGGATGGTTAAGCTATTTCCTATAACGCTGTGGTGGTGGTACATAGGATTTGAACTGCAGTTGGCAGGATGCAGGGCAAGTGCTTTAACCTCTAGATTATCTTTCCAACTCCACAACCCTTCCATTTTCAAAAATACTTTTTATTAGATAACTGTTAGCACAAAACCTTCTCTTTCTCTCTTCCCCACTTTCTCTCCAAAATAATACTATTTATTTCACTCAAGTGAAATACTATTTATTTCACTCACAATAACATAACGGAATACCATATGCCTATATATCACGCAGCCCCGACTATCAACCACATTAACCTTGACCCCCTTTCAACCTCCACTACCAAGTTATTTTGAAGCAAATCTGAGGTACACCATTCTATATCATATATAGAATTCCTTATAAAATTTTTGGCCACATTCCAACTATTTCATGTCATTTTTTTTAATTAAAAAAAATTTTGGGTCAAAGAGATGCTACGATACTTTCCTTGCATACAGCTGATTCCAGTTAGATCCCCAGTACAATGAGCATGGCCAGGACTGATCCCTGAGCACAGAGCTAGGAGTAAGCCCTGAGCACAGCTTGGTGTGGCCCCCCCACAAACACACAAATAAACCAACCAAAAGGGACCATCTATTATGACTGGCTGATATGTCTTGAATATTTTAATCTAGAGCCCCACTTTTCTTTGCAATTGAAGAAATTAGTATCACATATAAGAACTGAAATTCCATTTTGAGATCCCTCATTCTTGTCTTGAGACTGAAAGAAAATTTAAAACTACTGCATGTAGTCAGAATTCAGAGTTGGGTCAGAATTAGGCCAGGCCCTATTCTGTGAAGAAGTCAAGAGAAATCTATACACCTATCAGAAAATAGTAACCAGTTTCTTAACCTCTTTTGATAAAGAGAGTTATAAAGGCAATTACAAAAATAATCCACAGGGCCAGAGAAGACAGTACTGCGGGTAGAATGCCTGCCTTGTATATGACAGACCCTGAATCAATTTCCGACAGCCCACATGGTCCCCAAGTACTGCCAGGAGTAAGCCCTGAGTGTGCCAAAAAAACAAGAAGAAATATAAAACCAGCAATACCCACCCAATCACAAATCTTGTAAGCAGAGTTAGAAAAAAGTTGAACTACCCTGATATTTTGCTTTCTTCGATGCACAGATAATAGTCTGAGTCAGTACAACCAGGGAAATTCAATACTTCAAAACCTATGAACAAAAACCAGAAACCATGTTAAAATTTATTATACTGTTCTGATCACTCTACTGTTTAATGTAAGAGATTATTCCCTCTTCCTCCCCCCGCCTAATATATAGAATCTTATTTAAACTTGTACATGGTGACGTATCAGTGTAAAATCTGTCAGATTGTTCCCAGGTTCAAATCCTCACTTTAATAAATGTTACTTTCATTCAGATTCTTTTTATCAGTCAATAGTATGATACATACATATATCATTTAATTATAAGTGGCCGACAGGGACAAGGATGTGCTTCAGTAATAAGAGCACTTGCTTGTTTTTGTGAGGCCCGGGGTTTGATCTCCAGCAACACACACACCCCCCAATAATAAAAACATGTGGGTATAGGGGCTGGAGAGATAGCACAGCAGGTAGGGCGTTTGCCTTGCACGCGGCCAACCCGGGTTCGATTCCCAGCATCCCATATGGTCCCCTGAGCACTGCCAGGAGTAACTCCTGAGTGCAGAGCCAGGAGTAACCCCTGTGCATCGCCAGGTGTGACCCAAAAAGCAAAAACAAAAACAAAAACATGTGGGTATAAGAAATATAAGAATATTTTTTTTGATATTTCCTGAATACTGCTTCTGGTGGTAGGGAGAAGCATGAGTACTTTCAATTCTATCTGCATTAATTTTAACTTTTAAAATGTATCTTAGGAGTCAGAGCTTTAGTACAGTAGGTAGGATCCTGGCTTTGCCGGCAGTTTGCTTTGCAGGCAGTTTGATCCCCAGTATGCCCATATGGTCAACTGAGGAATGCCAGGTGTGATTCCTGAGTGAACAGCCAGGTAAACCCTAAGCATTGCTGGGGTGGCCTCAAAACAAAAACAAAATGTATTTTAGGCCACATACAGTTGGTACTCAAGAACCACGCAGTGTCGGAGATCAAATCTAGCACACAAACCATGTGTTCCAAGCCTTGGAGCCATCTCCAGCCCCTGTAACGTTTTATTTTTTTTTATTTTTTGGGTCATACCCGGCGATGCACAGGGGTTACTCCTGGCTCATGCACTCAGGAATTACTCCTGGCGGTGCTCAGGGGACCATAAGAGATGTTGGGAATCGAACCCAGTCAGCGCATGTAGGCAAACACCCTACCCGCTGTACTACTGCCCCAGCCCCGAATGTTTTATTCTTTTTTTTTTTTTTTAAAAAAGGAGGAAGTGTGGTCCAGACCATAGTAGGGTGCTTGCCTTGTACACAGTCAAGGCAATTTTTAGCAACCCTATAGTCAACCAGCCCAGCCAGGAGTGGTTCCTGAATACAGGACCAGGAATAAGCCTTGTGTCCCACACCCTGCTCCACCAAAAAGAACATGCTGAAATATACTACTTGTGTGTTTGATTTCTACATAACAATATGAACCTCCATCTTCAACACTAGGTGTGGCACTGGTAGTGCCCCAGCACCAAGAGATGTGGCCCCCAAACGAAAAGTTTTGAGACACAAACAGAATAATGGATGTTAAAGCTAAATGGTTTCAAATATCCTCTCCAATAAAAAAGAGAGCTTCTCAGCATCTCATAAGGCAGTTGCTGCAAACTTAAATGACATAAACATAAATTTTTAGCATACTAAAGATACAAAATATAAAGTAAATGGTAATTATAATTACTATATCACCCACCATCATTTCCCTGACCCTTTAGTCAAAGAAAGCGAAGGGTTAGTAGTAAACAGAGTGGCAAATTCCACCTGTTCCCTAGTAAGGTGAATTATGCAGTATGTTTTGTTCTGTTCTAGTTTAATCTATTATTATTCAATAATAATTTCTAAGTTAAAGACCAGGTGGTGGGACCAGAATGATAGTACAGGGGGTAGGGTGTGCCAAGCAGCAGACCCAGGTTTGATTCCCAGCACACCATATAATCCCTGAGTCCTCCTGGAATGATCCCTGAATACAGATCTAAACCAGAAACCCTGAGCACCTCTGGGATGTGGCCCCCAAACAAACAAAAACCAGGTTGTATGGACATCTGAACTACCAAGCAAATTCTGCATATTGTCACTTTTAAGGTTTCTTTTTTTTTTTTCACTTTTAAGTATTTTGTTATTGTGTTCTTGGACCATACCAGTGATCAGGGGTGACTTTTAGCACTGGGGGACTATATGGTACCAGGGATCAAGCCCAGTTCCTGCACGCAAAGCATGTCTTCTTGCCCATGTCCTCAGCTCCCAAAGTATCTTGATATAGAAGAACTAAAATCCAGACTTCAGTAAATTTGAATCTCAAAATAGAGATGAGAATACTCATCTGGAAAAAAGGACTAATCATCACTGACTTTAAACAAGGTTATCATGGGACACAATTAAAAGGATATTACTGGAAGTACTCTAAACCTAAAACCCAATAATACAATGTTGGTATTTAATGTATTTTCTTTTTGTTGTTGTTCTGGGTCAAGCCCAGTAGTGCTCAGTGGTTGCTCCTGGTGGTGCTGGGAGACCAATGGGATGAAGAGGATCAAACACTGGTTAGCCCTGTGTAAGGCAAGTGCCTTACCCACTTGATTGTCTTTCCAGCCCCAATTGACAGTTACCATATTTTCAAGGGGAAGATACCACAGGTACAACTGAAGTTCGAAAGAGCTGGGACACAGGATGTTCAGTGTTAGAATACATACTTCTTGATACGAGGCCCTGGGTGCCATTATGGAGAGACAAAAACATAGTAATAATAATTCTAAGGCAGTCTGTTAGTATCTCTATGAATGCCTTTCTAACATCTCATTGGTTTTTCTTGCCACTTGCGGTGTACTTAATCTTTGTCTAAAACAGGAAGACCTTATTTAAAATTAAAAAATAATAATAATTTGCTGGGGGTATAGGGAATGCTCCGGAACCTGGAGTCCCTTGATGTCAATCAGGCTCTCGGTTCAAATGACAAGTGCCTGAAGAGCCCGTGCTCCTTGAACTGGGGGTATCAGCCTCTGTGATGCTGGGGGCGGGGGCTCCAGGGTGACCCCGGTGATGCCCAGGTCATGCTGGCATGAGAGGCAAGCACCTTAACCCCTGCACTGTCTCTCCTGCCAGAGGCTCGCTATTTCTAAGAGAAAGATACCCCCCCACTCCAAGTCTATCTTAGCTCCTCAGCGCCCCATCCCTTCTGTGACCCTATTCTGTCCTTCCATGTCTCCCTCACCTGTCCACCCCCTCCTTCACACTTCAGTTCACCGCCCCCTCGCTGTTCTCTAACCTCCTAGTTGCAACCTCAGAAACTGGTTCCCTTTCTATTTTTAATCTGCCTAAGAAAACCCATTGCCTCGGCAGCGGCGCGCAAAGCCTTTATTTTTATTCAGGCCACTGAAACCGCAACACCAGATACAAGCCCACAGCCCTCTTTCGGGGCCAACGGGGAGAGAGCATCACCCGTCCGCACGCGCAAGGACCAAGATCATTTTCGATGGACGGGGCTTCCCGCGCGCTGGCCACTCACTTCCAGCCTCCCCCCACACCCAACACACACGCGAGGCTCGCACGCGGCGGCAAAGGGGCGCGCGCCCGGGCGGCTTTCCCGCGCCCTGCAAGGGGCATCGCCGTCGGAGCGCAGGCAGAGGGCACTGACGACGACGACGTCGCCGAGAAACGTGCAACTCCCTCCGAGGTTCCGGGAAACGAGGTCGGAAAGAAAAGGCCCCGAGGGCTGGAAATCTCCCTGCACGGGGCAACACCTCACCGATGCTCAGGGGGCCAGGCCTCGCCTCCCCCCAGGCCCGGGGAACCAAACCTTAGTAAGCGGCAGCAACAGGTTTTTCCTCTTTGTAAAAAAAAAAAAAAAAAAAGAAAGAAAGAAAAAAAAAGAGGCGGGGTGGGCGGGAGGAGGGGGGATGGTTCTTCCCGATAAGATTTAGACAGGTCTGCCCAACCTTGGGGGAGGGGGGAGGAGGGGCAGGGGGCTGCCAAAAATGCACAGGAGACTGGAGGCCGGATCGGGGCGGCCGGGTCTCGCCCCGGCTCACGCCGCGATGCCCCCCGCCAGCGCCGGCGGCGCCCCCAGCCTGCGCGCCCGAGACCCCGCGCCCGGGGGCACCGTCGGGCCTCCCCCGGCCCGCTCCGAGAGCCGCCCCCGCAGGCCTGCGCACTCCCTCCCCCCGCCCCGAAAACGCCCCCGACTCCCGCCTCCCCGCCAAGGGCGGGAGCGGCGCGGGCGGCCTCCTGCCCCTCCCCCCCGGCGGGGGCACCTAAAACGCCGCCCCCCGGCGGGTCCGTCGGAGCCGCTCGGCCCCGAGGGTCTCTCCGCAGCTGCCCCCCCCGCGGGCCCCGCTCCCCCGGAGTGGGGGAGGGGGGTGGGCCTCTCCCCTCCCCGCCCGCCAGTCGCAGCGCGGAATCCGCGAGCTTCTCGCGGGCAACACCCCAGCCCCCACGGCGGGGCCCGGGACGGGGCGGCCCCCCCACGCCGGCAACACCCCGCCCCGCCCCCACGGAGACCCGCTCTCCCGGCCGGGATGAGGGGCGTCTAGCGCCCGCCGACGTGGAGGTGGGGGCAGGGACACTCCCCCTCTCCGCCGCCATCACCCCAGAAACCAGAACGAGCCCTTCTCCCCGCGGGGCGAGGGCGTCTCAAGCCCGCCACGGGGCGGACGGCGTGCGCGGGCCCCTCGGAGAAGCAACAGGCGCCCCCACCCGCCTCCCGGCCCTGCAACGCTGAACCCCTCGTCGCTCCCGCTTTTCACCTCCGAAAGCCGGGCCGAAGCCTGGGCGAACGACTGTGCCTCACTCCGCCCCCTGCGCCATTTTATCGCCCCCTCCCCGACCTCCCCCACCCCGAGAGAGAGCCGGGCCAGCACTGGGGGGGGCGGGCCGACGGGCGGTGATTGGCAGGAAACCGTCCCGCCTCTCGGAGGGCTGCGCCCCGCGCCGGCGCCCCGGCCCCGCCCACTCGCCCCGCCCACCCCGCCCCTCGCCCCGCCCCTGCTCCGCCTCATCGACCCGCTCGGTCCTCCGCTGCTCCTTCCTGGTCCCCCGCCACTAGCGGGCCGGGAAGAGGCCCAGGCAGAGCTAGCCGAGCGACGAGCCCAGCTGACGCAACCCTCGCGGACCCGCGTGACAGTTCCCGGCTGGCGGCGGCGGCGACTGAGGAGGGGGCGCGGGGCCCCGAGCAGAGCACGGGAGGCCGTGACGACGACGGAGCCATGGGGGACGCCCTGAGTCCTGAAGAGAAGCTGCATCTTATCACGCGGAACCTACAGGTCGGGCCTTGGGTGGCCTCGGAGGTGGAAACGTGCCGTTGGGGTACCGGGGGTGGCCCCGAGCCCAGTGATCCTGAGCCCGGACACCTGGGACTCGGTGCGGGGACAGCTCTGAGGGGCAGCAGCCCTCGCGAGCCGTGGCAGCGGTGATCTGGGTGCTTCGGAGACCGCAGTGGGCCGCCCTGGCTCCTCGCACCCGTTCTCTTTGCGCCGTGCTAGGCTTTGGATGCAAGGTCCCCACCCACCACTCCCCAGTGTGCCGGGCGCTGGGGACTCATCGGGGTCCAGCACCCTCGCGGCTTTTCTGGAGCGATCTTTTAAAAATGACCCCCCAGTCCACGAACCACCGTGAGAGCTCGTCCCGGAAGGGGCTATCGGTGGAGCTTTGGGAAGGAATTCGGGGACAGGGCTGGGCCAGTGACCTCTAAAGCGTGCCTTGTTGAACGCTGAGTCCTCTCTACTCCGAAAGTCCCCCAGCTCTGGGGGCAAGATCTGCCAGAAAGCGAATCAGGGGAAGGTTTGGGGGATGTTGGGGAGGGAAGGCAGTTTAGTGAAAAGAACCCGGCTCAGGACCCAGAACAGGGCCCAGAGAGATCAGAACAGCAGATCGGGCTTGCATGCACCAGCCCGGGTTCGATCCCCGGCATTCCTCTGGTCCCCTGAGCATCGCCAGGCGTGGCCCCAAAGCCAAAAGACCGAGAGCAGAGCAAGTATGGAATTTCGAGAAGGCTAATTTGGCAGAAATAGAGTGCAGATCAAGTACTTAATACATATTGGTCGTTCCCTTGTGGCATTATTGGAGATCCTGATCATTTTATTTAAGTAACAATTCCCACTGCCTCTCTGCTCTCCTGGATCCTTTATTGTTGTTTCTTCATAGAATTTACAACCATCAAAAGGTGCTATATGTTTGATTGACTTATTTCAGGAAGAGAAGGCAGGGGCCAGATTACGAGCGTCTTACAAGGTGGTATTTTAAATTGGGTGAGCAGTTGAAGAGCAGGATAGGTTGGTTGGGTCACCATAAAAATCCATCCTTCTAAAATGTATAGTTCAGGGGCTGGAGTGATAGCACAGCGGGTAGGGCATTTGCCTTGCACGTGGCTGACCCGGGTTCGATTCCCAACGTCCCTGAGCACCGCCAGGAGTGATTCCTGAATGCAAAGCCAGGAGTAACCCCTGTGCATTGCCGGGTGTGACCCAAAAAGCAAAAAAAAAGTATAGTTCAGAGGGCCAGGGAGATAGTACAGCAGGTAAGGCGCTTGCGTTGAATGCAGCTCATTCAGGTAGAATCCCTGACATTCCATATGGTCCTCTGAGCCCATTGGGAGTCATCTTTGAGCTCAGAGCCAGGTAGTTAGCCCAGAGCACTGCCAGATGTGCTCCCTTTACCCCAAAAAGTACAATACAGGAAGTAAGGTACTTGCCTTCACATTGAAGCTGATCTGGGTTCAGCCCCTTCACAGTTCTAGAATTGCCAGATCTCTCCCTGAGCACCAAGCCAGGAATATGGTCACAGAGTCCACCAGGAGTGATTCCTGAGTACAAAGCCAAGAGTAACCTCTGAACATTGCTTGGTGTGGCCCAGAAACCAAAACAAAACCTAAATGGAATATGAAACCCGCATATGATATGTGACATTCTGTGTTTGACTTTAACTTGGCATAATATTTCCAAGGTAGTTTTACCTATTAGAACTGCTTTCCTTTTTTATGACCAAGTAGTATTTATCATTTTGTTTATCCATTTACTATGAGCATTTGGGTCATTCCCACTTTCAGTTTGATCCTAAACAGGGATAGTACAGATAGTACGGTGCTAGAGATAGTACAGTGGGTAGGTTGCTTTCCTTGATGCTGACCTGGGTTCAATGCCCGGCACCACATATGGTAGCCAGGAGTGATCCCGAGTGCAGAGCCAGGAGTAAGCCCTAAGCACAGTCAAGTGTGGCCCTAAAACAACAACAAAAACCAATTTTATCTTAACCAGAGATTTTTGGGGTTGTTTCCTTTCTGTTTTTTGGGTTTTTTTGGATGGCCCGGGGATGTTTGTTTCGGAGCCACACCCATTGGTGCTCAAGGAGTACTCTTGACTCCACATTCAGGAATCACTCCTGGAGGACATGAGGGACATTTGGGATGCCAGGGATCAAACCCTAGTCAGCCATATGCAAGGCCAACCCCTTATCTGCTGGACTATCTCTCCATCCCTTAAAAAGAGATTCTTACATGGCTTCTTCTTAGCCAGATCTTTTGTTTCCTAGTCACTCTCCTTAAAATAGTGCCTTGGGGACAAAGGTTATACAAAGCTAATGACTTTGACTCAGATTTTATTTTAGCTTTTGCTTTTTGGACCATGCTTGACTGTGCTCAGGGATCGTTCCTGGTGCTGCTCAGGGGACCACAGGTGGTGCTAGGGATCATTGGCCATGTGCAAGGCAAGCGCCTTAGCCACCATACTGTTTCTTCAGATTTTTTGTGTCACACCTGGCTATGCACAGGGGTTACTCCTGGCTCTGCACTCAGGACTTATTCATGGCGGTGCTCAGGGGACCATATGGGTCGCTGGGAATCGAACCCACGTCGGCCGTGTGCAAGGCAAATGCCCTACCCGCTGTGCTATCTCTCCAACTCCTCTTCAGATTTTAAAGGCAAAGTTGTGGTCCTTTCCTTGAATGGCAAGAATTTGCCAAATGTTCAGACTGGGACTTAATGGATGCAGGATCAAGCTTCCAAATAACTTGGAGCACAGAATTTAAGTTCTACTAGTAGTCTTTTGTCCATCATGATTCCCAGCAGCCTACTCAAGCCATCACTTCACTTAAAAATACTAAATTGGGGGCCGGAATGATAGTACAGTGGTAGGGTGTTTGCCTTGCATGTAGCCAACCCGGGTTCTACCCCTGTCATCTCATATGGTCCCCTGAGTACCACCAGGAGTAATTCCTGAGTCCAGAGCCAGGAGTAACCCCTGAGCATCACCAGGTGTGACCCCCCCCCCAAAAAAAACACATAAAAAATAAAAATAATAAAATCTGTTTGATCCACAGTATACTGCCCTATTAAGACTTCTTCAGTATTATTTTAGGGCAGAAAGAAGTCATTAAAAAATTTAAACAGGCCAGGGATTTGGCTCAGTAAAATTACCTTACACACATAAGACCTAGCTTAATCCCAGCACCAAACACACAGATTTAAATAGGTAGAGTAATCCAATGTGGTGTAGGTTTCAGTATGACTACTCCTCATTCCTCTACCCCACTTCCCAAAATTCAAAAGAGGTTTGATTGATGAGATCCGATCAAAAAGAGGCTGGAAGCTCCAATGAAAGATGTCCTAAGCAGAAGTCCCTGTATATACATTTTTAAAATCCTGTTTAGTCCACACTGAGCATAGCACTCAATTCACACAATCAAGGATTCACACACAGTATATGATTCAAGTTCTGATGAAATAGCTTTATTAGCGCTTAAATAGTAACAACATGCCTCACCATGGAGACCCGCTCAAGCAAATTACTGGGCCCGCTCAAGCAAATCGATGAACAACGGGAGGACAGTGACTATGACAGTGACAGTGCTTTAATCAGGAACCGCCTGCAGTACTCACTGTCAGAGTCCAGGTTAACCGAAGTCCAAGTCAGGGGCATACATGAGAGATACTTCTGGTGGCTTGGCTCACATTGGCCCTCTTGGCTTCTGTGGTTTCAGTCACTGCCTGGGTCAGAGGGATGATCAGGTTGGACTCCAGAATGTTCCCAAGATGCTAGAATGCTCATGAGTGCCGAGACATGGAGAGGCGGGCAGTGTCTGTCTGAGGTCCCAATGTTGCTGTTATACACACTTTGGGCAGACTCTTCACCTTTGGTAGGGGTGGGGGTGGGGGTCCCAGGGCTATTAGCTGCCATTCCAGACTCCTCAATGGGGTCTTTCTTTTTTGCTTTTTGGGTCACACCCAGCAATGCACAGGGGTTACTCCTGGCTCATGCACTCAGGAATTACTCCTGGCCAAGCTTGGGGGACCATATGGGACGCTTGGAATTGAACCCGGGTCGGGACACATGCAAGGCAAATGCCCTACCTGCTGTGCTATCACTCCAGCCCCAACAGGGCCTTTCTTGATTGGCTAACTTCTGGACCTAGGTGTCCTCATCTTGTTCTAGCTTCCGGATTGGTTTCTACCCCAGGGATGTCCTTTCCCTTGCCTCAGTTGCCAGGTGGATGTCCATCGGTTGGTGCTCTGGAAACCATGTGGTGATCACAGTTGAACCAGGGCAGCTGCATACAGGGCAGGGCCTTTACCCCTGTGTTATGTCTTCGGCCCCTAGGACCTAGGACTCGAAAGCAAAAGCAATTGCCTAGACTTATTAGGCTACTACAGTAATCCATACATAGACTTGTTGGGCTACAACAGTAATCCTGGTGTGATCACCTGGGGACTTAGGCTGGAGTGGAGGTAGAGAGGTGGAGACAAGTAGGCCCTCAGTTGTTTCTGAGTAAATTACTCCACCAAGTGAATGTTAATTCCATTTACTGAACTAAAGGTACAATGATAGTGA